AATGCGACTGCAAGACAAAACTAAACGATAAGTTAATTTACTTGGTCGTTAATTTTTGGTAAATTTGTACCAAAAAGCAACAAATTTCATAACTTTATGAATGAAATTGATATAATTCAGGAAAAATGAAAATAACTCAAAATAGTTTTTAGTTTTTGCTGAATTTTGAATTCGTTTTATTTTTTCGGTTGGTTCATCAAACAAGATGGCGGCCTCCATAAACCACATGTAAACAAAAGAAAATTTCTACCAAAAACTGCCTTGAACTCCGTGATTTGGTAATTAGCAAAGGCAGAGTGTTATTGCCACTATAAAGGGACACCGTCCTCTTAATATATTTGATATTTGAAGCTCTAAATAGTAAAAAACTATCCCGGACATTTTTTTTTTTTGAGAATTTTTTTTTGACATTCGTTTCTCAAAATCTCCTACAAAAACAATTCAACAAGGTTATTATTTTATTGAATTGTTTGAGAACCTGATGCAGGATATTGATTCTGTAAAGTGGAATGTGATACAGATAGTTGAAATTGAACTGGTAGAGCAAATATTTAGATGACTGTAGACTTGGTTGGTAGATGACAAGTTAATGTTCGCTTCCAGTTAACTGATATCACAGACTAGGTAGTTGTTGGTAGATGACAAGTTAATGTCCGCTTCCAGCTAACTGATATCACAGACTAGGTAGTTGAAGACTGTAGACTGAGGATTAATCTAAAGACAACTCTTATCACTCTAACCTGTGTCAAAAACATTGTTGGTCTGAGTCTTATAAAAAGTTGTCTGAGTTGTTTTTAAAAAGATTTATTGGTCCGAGTTGTCCAGATTCCGAATTTAGAAATAATACGTAAAATTTATCGTTGAAAGTGCCACTTGAGAATGATATAAAAGGAAAAGGAACGCTGAGTTGGAACGCTGTCTTTAAACAAGATGTCTGGTCGAAGACGTCTGAAACGTAAAGAATTAGAAAGTTATTTACAAGACGTGGATGTTTTTGATCAACCGAAAGTTTTTTTAGAGCAGTATCCAACAACACCTCATATT